GGGAGCTGAAACTGTTTATTTTCATCAATTTGTCACATTTTCCGATGGCGTAAGTCGTATCATAATAAAAAAAGATGAACTGGTAGGATAACTGTGTTTACACTGTGAGGTTTACAAGCGGCGTAGCTCGTGGCTGTGCTTTGAAAACGTGGTTTCAATCCTAAATTCCAATTCAGCTGAAGTCAAGGTCGTGGTATACCACCAAGAAGTGTCGGGTGGCCCTGGAGTATCACTGACAAATGGATGGAAGCGATGTGATCTTAATCACGTCAGTGGACTTTGTGGCTTATTAACTTTACGGGCGTACCTAAGTTCCCCTTCCATTCTTGGACCGTGTAAGCTCTATAATCTGGCATAAACTGAAGTTTACTTTGCTTAACCTGACCTGAAGACAGCAAAATTATGGCTTATGTGTTTTTAGCTCTCACGTATGGCGAATTCATTAACTAGTTTCGCCGATATTTGCGATCTTATTCACCATTGACTTGGCATAAAATGTTGAGCAACACTGACGTTTTTTTCCGGCTCAAACGCTCTAGCGGTGCGATCGGACTGATGCACACAAACTGTATTTTTGCGTTATGAAATGAACAAGTGGTATGTCAACACAATTTTTTGTTATTTTGCTGGCTTTCCTCGTCTTCGCTCCTTTTCTGCTTTTTTTCTGGTCTTGCTCTTCAAGTTGGGGTTCGGTGGGCAGGTGCTACTCAGACGGAAGGTTCATTTCGGCTATTTAACGAAGCCTGCCGGCAGGGATTAGAACAGTTGTTCCACCATAACAATGCTTTCGTGAGATACTAAAGCAACGCACCACTCGAAAGTGTCGCCTTGTTAACAAGCTTAACGCACTCAGCCACTCTAGTAATCTATCAAGCAGAAGATTTGCAGTTCATTCAAGATCATGTGTGCGATAGCCTCATGCATCGTTCCAGATGAAAAAGCAGGCATCATGGTGACCACGTGCCTCGCTTAACCTCACTGTGCGTATGTGTGTGGTGTCCAAAGATCGAAAAATGCGGCGCCTCTCTGGCCCATCAATCGTCATGGTGTCTACGCTTTTCCTTCTACCGCTCGATCATGTCATCGAAGGTCATACGACCTGGGTCGTGCATAGCCTCGCGAAAAGAGCGACGATTAAACGTCGGGCCCGCTGATACGAAACAGCTTTGCCATTTGGCAGCCCCCGTCGGCCCGCAAGGTCAGAATGTGATTGAGTCATGTCCAACGGAAATTTGGCAGCCGGATGGGGATAGGAATGTATTGTGTGACGATCCATGTAATGCCGCCTTATGCGGAGGATAAACGGCGACAGAAGTTTTCAATCAGCCGCAAACGCCCACCGTTTAGCGCTAGTCGAAGGACTGTGGTTAGGCCAAGGACGTGCCTACGTAGTGGCTGAGGAATGCTTGTTGGTTTTTCAGGAGCCCCGCCAGAGTCGGCCATTTGGCCCAGCGCGCGCCCCGCTGCTCCAATGTCAGTTGTCTACGTCACCGGGGTACTCTCGAGCAGGCCAAGAAAAAACGGCCTTTTGGCTCGAGGCCAGGCCAATGGAAAAGTAGTTATTACGTTTCCGATGCGAATATTGACCGGTCCGGGCTGCATAATTTCTCAATGTAACGCGTTGCAAGTGCACAACTTCCTTCTCCTTTTACGCACACACACACACGTGCAAGAGTCCGGCTCAGCCAGGGCTACTTGCGCGTATATCCCCGCTCCCGTGCCGGCCTCGGTTCCCGCCCCCTTCCCCATCTCAACCCTTCCCGTATCCTCACCATCTCCAGTCTTCCCACCCCCTCCCCATCCCCAGCCTTCTTGCGCCCTCACCACCTCCAGTCTTCCCGTCCGTCCCATCTTCAGTCTTCCCACCCCCTCCCCATCGCCAGCATTCCCGCCAGTCCCATCTTCAGCCTTCCCGCCGGTCCCCATCCCCAGCCTTCCCGTCCATTCCATCTTCAGCCTTCCCACCCCCTCCCCATCGCCAGCCTTCCCGCCCGTCACCGCGCTGGCTGCCGCCTGGGTGGGCCGGCTGCGGCCGCCACCATTTACGACCGCGAGTTGGCGGCCGCCACGCACCGGCTGGCGGCGGCGGCCCGTCCCTCTCCGCCGCGCCACGCCACACCTGGCCCCCGGCGCGAGCGAGCGCAGCACCCCGCCCAGCTCTTGTCTTCGGAGGCGATAGTGATCGCTCCGCGTCGGATCGCAGGTTTAGTGCGAGTTTTCGCGGATGGTGTGCTGTCGTTGCCATCGGCCTCTCCCCCGCTGATCTGGGAAAGTCGTGTGTGGTTTGGACTGTCGACTAAACAGCTTTGCGTCGGTGTGAAATTATTAATAACTTATCAGTGTTGTTTGAAAATGTCATTGCTTCAATCCATGGCCTCATGTCGCTGATTACTGGCGTCAGTTTCTAGTAGAATGTTCGTACGCTCTTGGAATTGTTTAGATGCAACAATAATTGGACGGAGCATTAGATGACGGATTCTACGAGATGACCCCACAGAAGGAATTTCCGAATAATGTGAAATATTGCACCTAGTGACTGCCGCAAATCGCAGTCATGTTGCGTGCACGTTATTATTTGCGTCATTACGCAAGACGCTAGATACTTTTAGAGCTTCACTTTCGTTCCATCAGGCACGATTGATTTCCCTTCAAACGGTTTGGAAGGCGCCGAAACATTCCTAATTTTTTCCTCCATCTGTCAGGGAAATGGGCATGGCAGTTTGAAAGGCTGCCAGCAGCGCATACCACAGCCTGGCCGGCGTCCGCGGACTTTACCGAACGGCTGCGAACAGCGCCGAGTGCCGACCAGTGCTGCCCTTCGCTTCACTGTGCTCGCACATATCGGCTGTGAAGCATGATCAAGGCTGGGACATGAGGTGGCAGCGATGCGCATTACTATGTGCTGCGACCCGGGCCGATCCACAGCCATATGCCCTGAACGAGGCGATGGCGATAATGACGAGTTCCTCTGTCTGTGAACATCGACATAAGTTGAGCGTCGAGGAAAACTAGTATGGCGTGCCTTCCCAAATCATGAGAATTTAGCACAAAACGCTTTCTGCCACACGACAGCATTTCGCTTCCCCGAGTAGCGCCCCCTCGCCAGTGATGTAAACATCGCGCGGTCAGTGGCAGCTGTACAGCCACCACCTCCTCTGTGATCCTCGCCGGGCGCGTGCCGAGGTCACGCGTGCTTGACCTCGACGCGTGCCCGCGGCGGTGGCGCGTCACCCGCCGTGTCGGCACCGCCACACCGCGCCAGGAACGCCGTGCACGTCACTCCAAGGACGTCACGCTGGCGCCGCGTCACTCGCCGCATCGAAGACAGCGCGGACCACGCGACTGTGGCGACAACGGCGCAGTGGCGGCGGAAGCGGCGTGTTAGCCACCGGAAAATCATGCAGGCCTTTTCATTTCATACATCAACTTCCCCGGAGAACGGATGTGAACAAGGATGAAGAATGGTGAGACATGTTAGTGGGGCACGAAATATATCTGCCGGAACCTGCAGCACTCAATGGAAAACCGTTAAAATTACGTTGATTTCGATGAGCGTACGTGTGAGGTGTTTGTTAACGCGCTGTCAATACCGCATCTTAGCGCACCGCTTGAAAGTGCGTCACGGCGTGGCTGGCGGAGGTTTGCCTGACACGGTGGGCTTGAATGCTGAGCTAGATGTTGCGCTGCGGGCCAGGATCCGGCGGGGAACGGTATCGGACTGTTGCGCCCCAACAGGCCGAGGATCCGATGGGGAACGGTGTGGGACGGCTGCGCTCCAGCAGGCCAGGATCCGGCGGGGAACGGCATCGGACTGTTGCGCCCCAGCAGGCCGAGGATCCGATGGGGAGCGGTGTGGGACGGCTGCGCTCCAGCAGGCCGAGGATCCGGCGGGGAACGGTGTTGGACTGCTGCGCCCCAGCAGGCCGAGGATCCGGCGGGGAACGGTATCGGACTGCTGCTCCCCAGCAGGCCGAGGATCCGGCGGGGAACGGTGTGGGACTGTTGCGCCCCAGCAGGCCGAGGATCCGATGAGGAACGGTGTTGGATAATGACGTCACAGATCGCGGCGGCCGCTCGGCGCGTTCCCTGTCGTTTCACGTGCGACGGGTTTAAGGTTGTGTAGTGATGGTTTGCACCGTCGGCTTGTTCCACATGTTTGAGACGTGTCAGGGTCGTGTGGTTAGAAAAAAGCGCGGCTAATGCATTGTTAGTCCCAGACTGTCAAAAGCCGCCAGCCAAGACCAGTGCTGCCAATCGGACGACGAGCAGTAACGCAATAACCTAACCTTGACAAAATGACGCCTGGCATGTTCCCGCTTTTCGTTGTGGTTAATGTAAGATTGCGTTAGGTCCTGAGCAAAACTCCGAGAACCATCACAAGAGCCCATGACGGCCTCGCGGATAGCTGGACATTGCCGGCGACTTTATCCTCTGGGTGTTATCTTGCCCGGGCGAGTGTTGTTGAAAGGCGCTTGTCCTTTCTAGGAAGAATGACGCCTGCAGTGTTAGTGGCGAAGTCAGAAGTTCACCCAGCAGGGCCCTAATAGAGGCAAACGGGGGCTCGTTCATCCAAGGGTACCCTCTCTGTCAACTAAGTGGCTACTTTTGGCTAAGAAGTTTTTAAAGGCTCGGATCTCATTTACATGTTTCGCGGGCCCATTTTTGTTTCAGGCCCTTACGAACGCTTTAAACTACCCAGAAAAGCTGGGACCATAATTTTGATTAGAGCTCGAGATATTGATAATGTTTGACCAAAAACTCTAAAAGCCGACATAGCCCGGGACGTCCTGGCGACCATCTTGGCATTTCCAAAGACTCTTGATGCCGTTGGAGGCACCTGCCTGTCTCGTGGCTCATTTTGCTCTCCGTTTGACACTTGGTCGTTCCTTGTTTGTGGCAGCGTATTCATATTTGTCTCGGGCCGCTAACCAGCTCGATGGGCGCGCTATTATGCATGCATCGGTACAGCTTATTCATCCGGGTCCCTGACGGTGGTTCGGGGCCCTTATCCGCCTCGTCATTTCTACTCCCCACCTTGTGAGCCGCTGAATGTAAGTAGACCCGCAGACAGCTTCACTTACAAGCGGCTACCTCAAGGCTTAATGAGGGCTTCTGAAAGTTTCAGGCGCCCTTGTTAGTACCATAGCGTTTCTCATCTATTCAGACACGGCTTCTCTCGCAAACTGATCCGTTGTCACTGTTGGACTCTAACGGCCTGGTGGGTCTTGGTTGCCTCAGACCTGCCAACCGTCTCAACAGCCCACTTGGGGGTTCACAAATAATAACCGGCTCAGCGCCCCCCGGCCTCGCGCTCTTCACCGCTTTACAGTTCCTTGGACATCTCAGCGCTCATCTGCTTGTCCCAGGGATGCATAACCTTCTGAGGGTCATTATGTTTTCATTGTTAGGGACTTCCAGCCAATGATGCATTGGCGAGGCGAGTAGATCTACGCGTTAAGCCCTCTTACCATCAGCCCCGTACTGTCAACACCACTCCTGTATTCTGCTTGTGACGTACACGGTACTGAAAAGTCACTTGTGCGGATTGGGTGCAATGTGTTGATTCATCATAAAATTTGCACCGTCTCTCCTTTACCTGCAAATTTGGGTTCTGCCAGCGACGTCAAAATCACCACTCTCATGCCGTTCAAAGCGCGAGTTAGAATTGGAAAGAAAACAAGAAACTGTGCCTACTTTCTGTGCTATTCCTAGCTCTCCTTAATTAAGTCCCTGACAGAAAGCTAATTGGGTGTCTTGGCTGTCCCTATTTACGTTACTTTGACAGGACGTCGTACGCCTCGTCACTGTGGCTGACGGCTTCTTTCGGGAACTCAAGATGCGTATCCGGTCCGGTATGCCCAGTGATCGTTTTCATGGTGGCTTCGTTAGCATGGCTCGTTTTGTAACCGTTCTTCACCGGATTCCAGCTGCCATTCATTGGCACGTGACCAGTGGACAAGGAAATCTCATGTTGCTGAGAATGCCGTAGTTCGAGTGAGTTCCTCACTACCTGAAAATGTCCATTTGAAGACACGATCAGGCTTTCAAGATCTATCAATGTTTAGTGTGACAACATGCACCAGCTCACATCGAAACAGCGCAGGTTTAGTGATTCTCATCTTAGCACATTTTATCAGGGCATGACGGTTTTTTAAACCAAACGTCCTCGAATATTTTCCACCCGTGGTTGGCCGCAGGCAGAACTGGGCGTCACGTGACCGACATCCCGAGCGATACCCAGCCTGTATGTGAAATAAGTTGTATATTCTTGGTCTTTTCCATGTCCACCTGCTGTAGCACTATTTTATGGACATGCGTTGGGAAAATACACTTCCAGTTGCTGTACTGATATTTTCCAAGGATAATCTGGTGCGCATCTTTCATCTATGCAGTTTTTAGATTAACCCTCGTAGCAGATAACCAGCCATAAACAGCAACACAAACGATCGAGATTTCACTACCCCGTCAATACTGAACGCCATTGTGAGGGAGTGTCCGCCGTAATTGAAAGCAACGCCATTCCGGTCGTTTCCGGCACGTCTACCACCAGCTCTGAAGCGTCAAAACGATATAGCTAACCATACCACTGCACCTGCGGCTCAACACAACCGGGCTCGCCGAACTGTCACAAAACAAAGCATGCACGCGTTGCACACTGGCCAGCGCCGGAAAACATACCCAGATAGCCGGCTTCGGTACTTTTCTGCTCTCACCGCCCCCGGTTTGGATTTCATCATCCCGAGCGTTCAGATGGAGAAAGTTTTTCTAATTGGATGGCGCTAAAATAATGCGATATACGGCGTCTGCCACGACCAGCTTGCTGGCAGTGCACTGTCCGGAAATTGTACGGCAGGCGAGGCTCAGTGGTAACGATAATGGAAAGCACACACCGTCGCTCGTCGTCGCACATTAAGGTGAAGAGTTACACCTTTCCAGTCCGGTGTTTCGTAAGTCTGCAACGTTCAGGTGTGATTCAGTGCCAATCAGGAAAGAAGTACCGAACAGTCAATCAAGATCACAATCCTCCCGGAATAGCGCGAGGGTCGGCAACCGCAGGCAGTCACTATGACTGCTAGAATCAGTGTTCGCGATATC